TCCTGCTGGGTGATATGAGTGGAAGAAGTCCTAGAAGGTCTTTGAGCCCCTGTGAGAAAGCTGGAGAATCTCTTCAGGCAACAGATGAAAAGAACAGGCCTGGCAGAAGCAGCTGAGGGCAGAAGAGCATCTGGAACACCATGTCAGAGGCCTTCAGATGGGTGGGCAGAGGCTGAGGTGGAAGAAAGATTTCATTTGGAAGAATTGGCAAGAGAAGCAAGGAGGCTGGGAGGCAGGCTGGAGGGACGAATTAGAGAGAAGGCCAGAGAGCACTGCATATACCAAGAATCTTGTCAGAGGTGGTTGAGGGTTGCACGTGCCACATTCCAAGTAGAATGTCAGAGAGGGAAAGTCCAACTGCAAACCTACCTGCCTAAGTGTGCACCACTCATCAATGGCCTCCACTTGGCCTTTGGTGCCAGGGAAAGGAGGCTCTGGCATCAGCAGAACTTTCCAGAAAAACAGGACTGCTGCTAGTCTACCCCATTGAATTCTGAGGTGTTTGTGATTGCCAAATTGGAAAGAGCAAAGATATTACCAGGTATATACTATTTTACAGCCATATCATCTCATTATGACCTTGCCAGGAGTCTGTGGTGACATCAAATCCCTGATCATTACAACTATGACTTTGGTACATTTTTGAGATCCTAAGTTGTCCAGTTAACAGGGACTAAAGAAGGTAATGTGAGTGATTGGACCTTGAGAAAATTCCCCCAAAACATAACTTAGAGATTTCGTCAGCTGTCCTTTAACAGAATTGATTTGCTCCTTTTGACTCAAATTTATGCTTCTCCAGATATATAATTTAAAGGTTTTTTTTGTGTGGAGGAAGGAGGCTGGATCCCATCCAGTGTTGTCAAACACTCCTGGAGGCCAGTGGTGTAAATCTACAAAGGATAAAAAAAATAAGGTCTATGGGAGGAGAAGAGAGACCTTCGTTTAAAAGGTCTAACGTATGATTGCCTCCAAACTTTCCTACGTGTGTGATCCATGTGGGAGCTTGTTAAATGGCAGATGCTCATTCAGAGAGCTTGGCCTAGGGCCAGAGATTCTGCAGGTTTATCAAGCTTCCAGGTGACGCTGCTGCTGGTCTCAGACCATCTGTTGAGCAGTGAGGATCTACGGACACTGGGTAACTAATCCAAAGTTTGCTTCAGAAGATGGACTGTTTTTGAGGTAAGGTAACAACCCATGAAAACATATTTGACACTAATTTTATATATTTTACATGGGATAACTGCAAAACTGGTAGTCAGAATTTGAAGTTTTATTTATTTTTATTTATTTATTTTTTAGAGAGGTTTTTTCGCTATAGGGCGCGTGCGCTCGCCAGACAGACAGAGAGAGACATAGAGACAGAAAGCGAGAAATCACCCCCCAGAGGGGATGGTCACGCCGCAATCCCTTCTCCTCCATTCTCCTCTCGGGATCTTGGGCATGCACGCACACGCGCCCGGCGTGAGTTTTAAGCCACCGGGTCCGGGACGCGAACCACGGTCGACTACGTGGGAGTCCAGCGACATAGCCATTACGCTAACTGCTGGTTCCCAAGTTTTATTTTTTGATTCTATTATATTTTAGCAGTAATACTTTGGGCAAATCAGGTCATCTTTGAGTCTCAGTTTCCTCATCTAAAAAAAAGTAGAGATAATAAGATCTGCCTTGGCCAATTGACCTCATGGTGTTATGAGGATCAAACAACTTATTTGAAAGTGCTTTGTTAACTGAAAGTGCTACACATGTGCAAGCATTATTATCACTACAGTGTTACTTGAACTTAAAGAAATGAATTAGTCCTACCCTACCCCCATCTGAGTCCCATGTAGAACTTGCAGGCTGACCTGGCTGGTGAGGAAACTGCCTCCGGGCACAGGTGCAGTCAAGGAGAGCGGAGGTGGCAGTGCCCAGACTTGAACTGGAGACTGCAGAGTCCGGGGCCTCTTTCTCAGGACCGGCAAGGGAAAATTGGCTTTTTCTCAAGTATTTTTCCCAGTCTGTTTGGAACTAGGGAAATGAGGATCTTAATTTGGGGATTAGATGGATCATGAAAAAAACACAATTTTGTATAGATAACAGATTGGAGAAGTCATTACTACTATTCCTACTATTGGATTTAATGTAGAGACAGTGACATATTAAAAACCTTAAATTCCAGGACCAGCAGTTAGCATAATGGCTATGTCGCTGGACTTCCAGGTAGCCGACCGCAGTCCGAGTCTTGGACGCGGTGGTTTAACCTCACACCGGGCACGTGTGCGTGTGTGCCCAAGATCCCGAGAGGAGAGTGAAGGAGAAAGGATTGCAGTGTGGCCATTTCCCTTGGGGGGTGATTTCTCACTTTCTGTCACTCTCTCTGGTGACGGCATGCGCCCTATAGCAAAAACGTCTAAAAAAATAAACACCTTAAATTTCAAGTCTGGGATTTAGGAGGACAGATAAATTCCAGGCTATACTAGAGATGTTATTATTCAAATACAGATGCAGTCATTTATGTAGTAGTCAGCTGTGAGCGAGACTGAATTGGCCAGAGTTAGTTGCCATGTTGGAGAAAGAAGAGCTGAGGAAAGCCATTTTGGTGGTGTCTGCAAATAAGCAGGACATGAAACAGGCTATGGCTCCCTCAGAGATGGCAAATCCACTCGAATTACCTGCCTTTAAGGACTGAAAATGGCAAATATTCAAAACATCAGCAACCAAAGGCACTGGGCTCGATGAGGCCATGGAATGGTTAGTTGAAACGTTGAAAAGCAGACAATAATTTGGTCAGTTCAGCTCGTCCAAAATTAAGGCTGCATCACGTATCCCTTTGGAAACAGTCACGTGTGCCTCACACTTCTAAGTGTCAAAGCTGTGTCATTGTTGGTATGTACTGAACTGAATGCAGCATTTATAATAAGAAAAAGTATTTGATTGGAGGGGTAACTCGGCTGAATCATCTGAATGTTCTATGTAATGTATAATATCCCTTCCTCGCTTGTGTTAAGGTATATATTGTTATTATTTTTTTTTTGAGAGATTTTTGCTATAGGGTGCATATGCTCACTGGAGAGACAGAAGACAGAAAATGAGAAATCACCTTCCCAAGGGGGATGGCCATGCCACAATCCCTTCTCCTCTATTCTCTTCTTGGAACTTTGGGCATGCATGCACACATGCCTGGCGTGAGTTTTAAGCCACTGAGTCTGGGACTTGAACCGCAGTTGACTACATGGGAGTCCAGCGACATAACCATTATGCCATCCTCTGGCCCCAAGGTATATATTCTATTTGTATGAAATTCTTTTAAAAAATAACCCTGTTTAAAGAATGCACTCTGGATGGGGGGAGCCCCTCCTATTTTTAAATCAGTGGTTGCAGCTTATTTGTATAGACACTAACAAATATCTTCTTTTTTTTTTTTTAGAGGATTTTGCTATAGGGCGTGTGCCCTCGCCAGAAAGACAAAGAGAGGCAGAGAGACAGAAAGCAAGAAATCACTCCCCAGGGGGGAATGGCCACATTGCAGTCCCTTCTCCTCCTTTCTCCTCTCAGGATCTTGGGCACTCATGCACACGCGCCCAGAGTGCATTTAAGTCACTGGGTCCAGGATTCGAACCATAGTTGACTATAGGGGAGTCCAGCAACATATCCATTAAGCCAACTGCTGGTTCCTCTAAACACTAACAAATATCTTAACTCATATTTTTTTCTCTTAATATAAATTAAGTCATTTCAAAGATTAGACGCAGTAGAGTAGGCTGGGAACCTAATGTGCATAATGTTGTCTTCATTTGCTTAACTGACTACTTTATAAGCTGCTTTGTTTAAAAGCCTTTAGTTGCAGGCATGAATATTACTTTGGTGGTTAACTTCACTGACTTGCCTGTAAGTAACTGTCATTATATGGCACCTTATATTTGTCAAAAAATATTTAATGTTTACTGGACCGCTGATCTGTGCGAGAATTCTGTGAGGTAGGCCGGACAGGTTATAATGTCTTTGCTTTATAGACATGGACCCAAGGTTCTGATAGTTTTGCTTGCATAAGGTTGCCTACTAATGAGAGAATAAGAGGGATAAAAATGGGTCTTTGGGGGACAGCTAGTGATTTCGTAGTTAAGGCTGCTAGATCCCACATGGCCACTGCACGGTTCAAGTCATAGACCTGCTGGTCCAAGGAGAATGGAGAAGGGATTGCGGTGTGGCCATTCCCCCTGGGAGATGCTGTCTCACTTTCCCCTTTTCTCTTTCTGTCTCTGATGAGTGCATGTACCCTACAGAAATTTTTTTAAAAAGTAAGAATTTTGGGTAAGAAGTTTGTCCCATTAACTATGCTGTATATTCCTAAAAATGCCAATATTCACAACAGTCTAACTCTTAAAATTCTGCCAATTAGTCACGGAACATTCAAAATAATGTCTATATACTTACTTTTAAAAAAAGAATTATTTATTTTGACTGGAGAGAGAGAGAGAAAGAGAGAGAGAGAGAGAGCAAGCTGCCAGGTCCAGAACTTGAACTGGGGTCAGTCATGTGAGAGTCCAGTTCCTTTAACCACCATGCCACTTGCCAGCCCCTATACTTACCTGTTTATAACAGTAGTTGTAATCAATGATATAGTAAAAACAATTCTAAATGGTTATATTTGATGAAATTCATAATACATTTTAAAATATTCACATTAAGATAAGATCTATTTTTAAAAAAGAAATGAAATGTTTCCATTTCTACTGCTTTTATATTTATTTATTTTAGGAGAGATTTTTACTATAGGATGCATGTGCTCATCAGAGAGACATAAAGAGACAGCAAGAGAAGTGAGACAACACACACCCCACCCCCCCCAGGGAGGATGGCTATGCTGATATTCCTTCTCCTCCAGTCTCCTCTTGGGTTTGGGGCATGCACACATACGCACCTGGTGAGTTTCAAGCTGCTGGGCCCAGGTCTCAAACCATAGTCCACCATGTGGGAGACCAGTGCCCTATCCACTACACTACCTGTTGGCTCTGCTTTTATTTTTAAAGATAGATAACATTGGCAACTGTCTGCTGTCACTTGACACTGTATTAAGCACAATTAGAATTGTTCAGTTTGCTCTTCAGGACTCTAATAATATCAGTAATACAAATATTAGCTCCATTCTACAGAATGAAGAAAGTGAGGAGGTCCCATCAACCTGGGACCAGCAGATGGCATAATGGTTATATCACTAAATTCCCACATAGTAAACCACAGTTCAAGTCCTGGACCCAGTGGCTTAAAACTTACACCTGGTACATGTACATGTGTGTGCCCAAAATCCCAAGAAGGGAATGGAAGAGAAGGGGTTGCAGCATTGCCATTTCCGGCGGGGGTGTGGGGGGTGTGTGGTGTGATTTTTCATTTTCTGTCTCTCCAACGAGTGCATGTATCCTATAGCAAAAGTCTCTCTCTAAAAAAAAAAAAAAAAAGAAAGAAAGAAAGAAAAGAATTTAACCTCAACCCAACTTTTCTAAATTCAAACTCTAACTCAAAGATGTGATAGTCTGGAACAAGAGTTGGCAACCTTTTCCTAAA